AGGGAAGGGAAGGGAAGGGAAGGGAAGGGAAGGGAAGGGAAGGGAAGGGAAGGGAAGGGAAGGGAAGGGAAGGGAAGGGAAGATCCTGCAATAAAAATAAAATCAATAGCAATCACAGAACACCCTGTGCGAAACAGAAGTCATCTGTGTAACACACAGGATCAGTAAGTGTAATTCAACAGCAAGCTTATTTCAAGCTCATTTCACAAACATACACAGATGTCTTTGAACCTTACCTTTCAGTCTATGGTTTCCTTCCTGCATAAGTGATTGGCTGACTACTGACATTCTTGGTGTTTGACAGAACAAGCTATCTCTTTCCAGTTTGACTGATAACCAGACTGACACCCATTACTCCCTTCTTTCTGTTTCTATTAACAAGAGTCCCCCAAATCGTAACTTTTTCTTTCTTTTAATATTCTGAGATGTATTGCTTTCCCAAACCACAGTATAAAATGCAGCAGGGAAATAATTATCTGCTTCTGTAGCATGCAAGTTTTAAAATTATATGCCCAGCATTACCAACACAGAGAGTTAAGACTCAAATCCCCACAGCAACAACATGCTAACCATCTTCTTCCCCCAGACTTATGGAGCTGCGGGATGTCTGCCAGGGAAAAACAGAGAAATGTAAAAAGGACTGCAAGAACATGAATACTAAAATAAATATCACAAACCTGGCTGAYGGAATCACAGACTGAGAAAAAGCTATTAAATCAGCTAAGCCATCTTCTTACTGAAGGCAGGAATGATCTCTGTACATTATTTTCCTGCTGTTTTTTTCCAGCATGTGTTCAAATGGCCCCAAAGTCCACTGTGTACAATGGACACTGCTGCGGTSTTCAGAAGGTTCCACATCAGGCCATAAACTGTGTGGAATGAAACATCTCTCCTGAGGAATAACTGGACTTGGCAGGTAAGATTACCCAGACATATTTACTTTATGAGGTCCTYAAATAAATCTTTGTTTTAAGATTTCTTTGTTTTTCACTATTTCAGCCTGAAATTTCGGGAGTTATGTCTCACAACATTCTTGTACAGGTAGCAAAAATATTTTCCCTTCTACATGAAATTTCCAGCCTTTTTAAGCATCCTATTTATCTGGGTTTTTTTTTTTTCATTTCATTTCAAGCCGATGTGATTTGTTAATCTCACTTTCTCACTCACAGATTTTGCCTTATTCTAGGCTCACTCTTATGTCCACTGTCTCTCCCCATATCTCATTCCATTGTCCCCACTGTTACCTTCATCTCTGGAGACTCTTYTTCTCAAATCTAAAACCACCACTGAAAACACCACTGAAAATAATTCCAGCAACACACAATATGGATCTAAACTTGGAGCAACATGGCTCAATCAGGTATCACTGAAAACATAATATGAAACCAGGATAAAATATTGATGAAGATAATGATAATAAAAAAATAAGTCATGAAATGGGAGACAACTAAAAAGGCRTTCTCTGCTGAGCAATGAACTTTGCTATGTCACAAACATCTGGAGGTCTAGAAGCACAATGTGGTGACTKTAGCACATCCCAGAAAGAGTTGGAGAGAGGCAGGTGCCAGATTTTCCACCACCAGTGAGACAGCACAAAGAAAGAAGAGAACAGAGGGACCCTTGGCAGTACCAAGGTCAGGGACAAAGTGGCAGCTACGGAAAACGTGTTCGTTTTTGCTCATGCAGCCTGACAAGCTGGGATGTGGGGAGGCAATGAAAGAACAAAATGYAGTGTCCAAACAAAACCAAAAGGCATTTCCATGCAGCTATAAAACATCAAAGCTGTATTTTTTTCAGGGAAAGCCAGTAAGACAAGAGCAGTAAAGCACCTTAAAGAGGAGTGTGAGGATTTGTGATCGACTGCACAGTGATACACTTGCTTCTTGCGCAAATCTTGGATGCTGCTAACCAGATACTGCTCCAAGAGCTTTAATAAGGGTCTTCCCTATACTACAGTGCTCTTCATAAACTGTCAGATCATCCTTTACATGCGAAAGAAGATTCTTTATTCAAACCCCAAAAAAACACTACAGAGTACTCTGCATCAATGGTCCAAATTGTCACAGTAACATTTTCCTAACCGCTTCACTATCACAAATTCCTGCTTTTGCTTTAACTTCCTCAGAAATGCTCATTGCAAACTGACCACCAGTAAGTGAATATACTACAACTAGTAATGCAACCTCTTACTATGAGAAACAGGCTGAAAATACTAAGGATTTTTGCTAAAATGCCTATTTCAGATAAAGGCAAATCAATGGAATCAGTCTGCTATTTTCAGTTCTGCCACTGGAAAATGAATGCTGAAAAAATCCTAAAAAGAGATTATTCTGTGGGAAAGGACCAGCCAGCAAAATCACTCTGCAGGTGAAAGCCTTTCCAGAGGGATACACTCTCCTCTTCCTCCTCTTCATCTTCTGAAGCAGAATGCAAATCCTGGGAAACCAAAACCATTGAGCCTCCTGTTTGTAGCCTGGTGTGCTCACTTGAYGAATGAGGACTTTAAAGGGAAGGCAGTACAATCAAATGTCATGAAGACACTTGTGGATTTTAAGTTTCATCACACACACTTCTACTGATGGAATCATTAAGCTTCCTAAATAAATACGATTTGTCAGAGACAGGAATATTTACCATTGCATTAAAAAAATAGACAAATAAAACTAAATATGCACAACTAAGCCTTTTAAAAAAATGTCGGAGATGGTTTTCTGTGCCAGCAAATATAAATTTGATAACTTTTATCAGTCAAATAATGCTCAGTTCTGTGACTGTATCTTTTCCCTGGAAGTCATAGCCATTTCCACCCAGATAAACAAAACCAGGGAACATAATTTTGAGTTACTTGTAAGCCTCAAAATCCTACTCTTTATGTCCTCTTCTGTTTAGAATCTCATATTTCAAATCAAAGAATACTTCAGTGCCTCATCATATATATCACGTATTTGTTAACTACACATCTACAGGGCACTGAGCAATTTGGTTTGTAACATTCAAAAAAATCTGTGACTTAAATAAAACCTCTTATTTCTCTGTAAATCAAATCACCTTAACCTGCACTAGAAAAAAAAAAAAAGCAACAAAATCCCCTAAAGTATTTCTCACCATGCTAAAACACACATCATTGTTCTTCTTTGCAGGTTATACTGTCACATACAGTATGAGAAAATTCTCCACTGAAAATTTTGTTTTCTTCAAATTAGTTGTTTTTTTCTCAAACATAAATATTACACATTTCTCTGATTATTTTCCTTATAAAGAACACTAACATACTTGTGAGCTTTAACTGTTGTAAAAAGATTATATGGACACAGCAAGTAGGAAATGAGATTAATTATTTGSGTTTTGGTTGTGC